TGGAGAAAAGGAGGCTGAGGGGAGACCTCATCGCTCTCTACAACTCCCTGAAAGGAGGCTGTAGCGAGGTGGGTGTCGGTCTCTTCTCCCAGGTAACTGGCAATAGGAGGAGAGGAAATGGCCTCAAGTTGCACCAGGGGAGGTTTAGATTGGATGTGAGGAAAAATTTCTTTACTGAAAGAGTGGTTAAACATTGGAAGAGGCTGCCCAGGGAAGTGGTTGAGTCACCACCCCTGGAAGTATTTAAAAGACATGTAGATGCGGCACTTAGGGACATGGTTTAGTGGGCATGGTGGTGTTGGGTTGACAGTTGGACTCGATCTTAGAGGTCTTTTCCAACCTTAATGATTCTATGATTCTATATAGAGACATGCAGCTTTCAAGCTGTTTCTCCCTTTGAGAAGCCCTAAAGTTTGGGCTCCAAGTGAATTCAATTAACAAAAAGAAATGTGAATACATACCACCATTCTTGTTTTCAAAGCTCATTTACAGTTATACTCTGTCCACTAAGAGCTCCTGACAGCAGAAAACTCTATCACTGGAAAGCTGTCACACGAGACGCCTGCATGATGCTTGGGTGCCAGAGCTGAACAGAACGGGCCACGTGGAGTCGGCCCCCATTCAACAAGCAAGATTTTGAAAAAAACAGCTATGGGTTTTTTTTTTTCTTTGGTTTTTTTTTTTTTTTTAACTAGGCACACACAAACCTGTCTTCAGCTGCTAACCTTAATATATTACTCATTCTTCCTTTCAAATAACGTCATGTTCAAAACCCCAGTGACTGCAGAATATTTACTTGAGGCTGCTACTGATGGTTTCTCTAGAGCTGTTTATTTTTCCATGCATGAGCTCATTACATCGCTCTGTGGTTTTCTTAAAGGTTGTCAGGGTGAGCTGGATACAGGCTGGAATCTCTTGCTAACTAAAACCAAATCACTAAGTAGCACAAATGGACTTGGAGATAACCCAACTCTGGAAATGAGGAACAACCATGGATTCCTCAGTGGAGACGGGGTGCTCCCAAACAGGCAGCCATTAGATTTATTTTCTTGAAGCAGGATAAATTATCAAGTGTTTCCCTAGATTAAGAACTGTAAAAGAATAACCATTTGGACTCTTCCAGGCTGGAATAGGTTAGAAGGTAGGAAAGTAGGAGGCTGAAACAGTAAAAGTAGAATGAAAAGACAGTTCCCACCCATGCTGATTAGAGAATGGCCATTGCAAAGGTCCCATCTGTATTGCCTTCTGCTCTGGCAGTGTTAAAAATAAATGACAGAGGGCAGTGCTAGATAACAGGCTTAGTTTGGGGTATCCATGTGTGTGCACATGTCGGGTGTGCAGGTTTGGGGAAGGTGAAAATCAATTAAAAAAACATCAAAAAATGTTTTTGTCATCTTGCCACAACAAACAAAATACTGGGTGGATCTAGATCTTCCACTTGCCCCAAAAAGAAAAAACTGACTTTGGGGCTTTTAGGATTCACAAACTAAGTCTTCTGATTTTATAAGCGTAGAAAAACGTAACTTTTCTGCTACTCAACAGTCCAGATGTTAGAACATGTTCATATTTTGGTTCCTGCCTCTGGCTGAGAACATTTGAACCTGCATCTCAGCCTACTGAGAAAGGGATCTAGCCGTCATTTCATTCTTTCAGGCGGGCTAGGGTAACAGCACTAGCAATCCCTCCTAGCAATGCTGTTTTACTTAGCATAGAAAAATTCACTGGCAAAACGCCTGGAGACATACAGATTCTCAGTCAAGTGCTCTAATCACCAGGCTAGAGTCATTCTGCTTTACCTGATCCCTAGCTTAATTAGTATTTACACATGCCAAGCAAAATATAAATGCTCCAAAAGAGAGGACTGTTTCAGGAGAACCTCTTCTGTTTGTCAACACTAAATGGAAGGTGGAACACTCAGATTTCAAATGCAGGTCTTACGAGATATAGGCTGCGTACGCAATACGGGATGTCACCAGCTCTGCAATGCTCAGCTACCTGGTGGTTGGTTCACTCTGAAGCCTAACATTGACCAGAGACAATGATAGCAAATTACAGAGCCTATTTGTCTCCATATAGCAATTCTTAAATTCTCCTCATGGTTGATACAGTGATGGTGCTAGCTTTCCAAGAAGTCCAATGTCAGTGCTGATTAGAGACCAGCACACTTCCTCTGACAGTAGTTTCTACTGGACTTCTCTTCACTGCAAAGGACAGTGCTATAAACTACCGCAGGGAAGAGAGATCAGGGTTAAGTGTTTCAGTATACAAACTCCAAGGAATAGGGCAGGCTTTCAAGAACTTAAGACTAATGAAAAAGAACAAAAATAAAAGAAGAGTTACGCTGGATATTACAAAAAGAAAAATCCTGAGATTGAGTTCAGACAGCAGAGCAGCTTCCTGTGGGAAGAAGTGAAATCTTTATTGCCTAAGGCATTTATGCTACACTAGAAAATGGTGCTCTTCATACAGTAAAAACATTCACTAGGCCTAAGGCAGTAGATTAGATGACCTACCAGGTCTTTTCTCACTCATTTCAGTGATCCCATTAAATTGCTGCAAGAGCATACCAGACTGTATCTGCTTCAAGACAGTAAGTGCAAGCTCAGAGAGATAATATAGCTGAGCGAGTACAAAAACCAAAAATCCAATCTTGCGCTAGTAGAACTTACCTTAACCCTTTAAAAATAAATGAAAAATCAGAAGTGTGATGAGCATTTATATTTCAAGCTGACAAGGGCCAAAAGCAATTAAAAACATCCTCTAATTTTGCATGCCTGTCTCATGATAGCTGTTTCATCATCTTCAGCCAAGACGGACTTGAAGACATTTGAAGAACCTGATTCTAAATGATAATTATAGTCCCCAGCTCTGTTGTTTGATCCCACTTACCCTACATTGCCTTTTAACATATATGACAAGGAATGAAAGGTACTAAAGGGGCTAGGCTTTACTGGTTGAAAGAAACAGACTGAAGTAGCCCACACCTAATATCAGCTAAATCATAGCCCTATTTTGATGAGGCAGCATTTCTTGATATCAATAATTCAGTGTAAGAAACAGAGACGGCTGTGTATTTGTATGGCCTAATGTGGAAATTTGGGGCTAAAAATTGGCAACCCAGTCTCTTAATGAGATCCTACAGCAAATAAGTGTCTGTCAGGGCAATCAGTAAGGCTGAATCAGATGAACCACACATCTCATTTTAGCTTCCTGTAGAAACCAGCTCTTACAGAACTCTTGAATTTTCCAGATCATTTATTTTCAATTTGTAGCATGCACCCACAATAATCTTGTTTGAATAACAGAAATGACATCAGAACGAACTGGGAAAAAAAGCAGACAAAAGTAAACTCACAAAAGGAACACTTCCATGAACAAAACTCCAGTTTACATCAGGCAGCTTCCTGAGGAAACACTTGAGCAAACTGATTTCCTTTAGAACGTGAAAGCTAGCTTACTTTGGCTCTGTTGGACCAAGAAAGGGTGGGAGACAGGCTCTCAAGTAAAAGACCCTCCCACTCCCAAGTCCCTTTGTAGCCTCCGAGAACCCAGATCTAGGAACTCTTACTTCCATCGCAGCTACCAGGTTTGTTGCATTAGAAGGAAAATTGGTCTCCAAGATAGGTAGGACCCATTACATAGGATTTTAATATTAAACTGTCACCTTCAATTGCACTGTGAGCTGCTGGTTGTCCCAGCAGCTCACAAAACACAAGCTGCATTTGCTCTCCCCTGAAAGATATCCTTAAAGAAGAATGCTGATACTCCTACATCATCTGAAGCTTCTGTATGATTCCCACTGGCAGTTCCTACACAGACCACCCTGCTACAAAAACAGTCCGGAGGTGAGGCACAGGAGACTATTGCTAAAACTGGGGTCTGGGCAATGATGGATGTCCTCCTGCTAAGAGATCTTCTCCACTCTGCTGCAAGAGAATCTCATGTAACCTAGCACTGATTTCACCCTGCAGCTGGGAAGTGGCACAGGAAGGTTAAGGGAACTGCTGAGTGCCATGAAAGCTCTCTGGCTAATCCAGAAATATCAGGTGACGAAGTACTTCAAGCTATCACAATTATCCATTCTGGGAACTGGAGTTATTCCCAACAGCTATTCTAGGCATATATTGTTTCATAAAATATGTGCAATAGTAGCACCTCCTATTTAAACCTTAAGGTGAACCCATGACTTCTTAAGACAATTTTCTTCTTTTGATATTCCCTTTACCTACTTCCCTTCTCCCACTTCAGTTAAAATATATGATAGAAACCATTCTTACCAAGAATCCCTAACTTTCCTCTTCAGATTCTTCCAGTTCCTTCCTTGTGATTTCAGTGACTCCACAGTTTCACCCTCATCTCCAATCTCAAGTTTTACATCCTAACTTCACATCTTCCTGCTCCCCTTTTTCCCCATTCATGTTCATGATCTTTTCTTTGATGTTTTTCATGCTTGGGTCTTCCCTCATCCACTCTATTATCCACAAAAATAATCTCAACATTTACTTAGGCACCAGACATAAGTAACCTACTTTCAATTGTGAAATAATCCAATCATTTCTCTATCAAAAAATATCCCCTGCAGAGAAGAACCTTGAAGTTGCTAGAAAAGAAGCCCCTCTCTGTATTTTCTCAACTGCTTAGACCAAAAACCACAGCTCAGATCTCAGAGCCAAATGAATCAGTTTGTACATCCATAAAAGACTGCTGAACAGCAAACAATAAAAATGACAGCTGGCTGGGATGAATTAACAGATGAAGAAATTAGAGGTCCCCCAGTCATGGTTTGGGTAAACAGAAACACCCCTCATCACACATTGACTGTGGCCTTCTGGACACAAGAAAGGATGCTATCTGAAATTATTTTATAGCCTACACTTCAAGTCCTGCAACACTGAAAAGCAGCAGGATAGCTACATTAAAGAAAGAATGAAACAAGAACAGACAGTGAGGGACTGCAACCTAGTTAAAAGAAACCTCTTTTTTTTTAGATGGAACATTACCTGAATTCCTTATACTGGAGCTGTTCAGTTTGGAATCTTTGATGACCAAGTGCTTAATCCAAAGGGTGGGTGCTGTGATTTCTGAAAGAAAAAAAAAACAAACCTGCTTTAAAGAAACTACAGCAACTAGTGAATACACATGATTGTTACTCATGAGGACAAGATGTTTGCTACAATCATGCCTTAACTGATCCATCACCTTTGTAGAGATTGGCTCATCCCCTGGTGAAGTCTTCTACCTCTTATGAACCACTATTTGTAAGTCTTCCACAAGGTTATCTCATCTTCCTGTTCCAGAGAGTACCTCTCTGCTGGCAAAACATTTTTTTTTTTCCTCCCTCTACCCGCCACTTCCTAAATTCTCAAGTCTAAAGCCTTTCTCCTCAAGACTTAGAGATCTCAAAAGTTATGTTGTGTGCTATAGTACATGTTGGTTTCCACTAAGTACATATGAAATCCAGATTAAAAAAGAGTCAATCCAGACCTTAAATATTGCTTTAACGGCCCAAGAAGAGCTGACCAAAGTCAGCGGTCAAGCAACAACAAAATCCAAAATAAATAGGCAGAGAAATGAAGATATTTCTGGAAAGACTTGAAAGGAATTCCGTTAAAGAAACAAGTTCTGGTTAGAGAAGCGTGTCTGATGCACTACAACCAAGACATCCAAACATAAATTCGTGGGGAAAAAAGTGCTTAAAGCACCTCCTCTGAGGTGTTACAATCAACATCAAAACACAGCAGAACCTGCCCTAAGCCACAGAAATGACACATCATCAGCAGTTGATTAGAACTGAGCAAAGCGGTACACGATACCATGTGCTAGAGCTTCTAAAGTGACACTTTCAGAACTGGTATTTTCTGAAAAATTTTCAGTTTCCACAAGAGCATGCTTTAAATACTAGATCCTGGAGTCTGTCTTAAGTTCCTCTAAGAAGTTTTTACAAGAGTTTTCCTGCTCCCTTGTTGACATTTACATGGATCTGCTCAGCAAGGGAGAAGCTGGCTGACTACAAGAGAAACTGATTATACATTATAAGAGCACGAAGGAAAAATGAAAGGGAATTTTTCCTTCCTAAATGTTTTCAGCTACATTGATTGTAGGCATTATTGTAATCATGTTCAGGGCATTTTTTCATATGGAAGTACAGGTTGAACACTGATATTCCAGCAGTAGTAAAAGTTTGCTTAACAAAGATTGCCTTACCTGCAGGTTTCACTACACTATTTTATCACCACTCAGTCATGACGTGCTCCTACATATACATATACCTATATACTTTGGGCCTTTTGGGGGGAGAACTACATCAAATTAAACACTGGGTGAGAAGTAGGAAGGGGAGAAGCACAAAAGTAGAAGTAGTCCATAAGCCAAAGTTCTGAATCCAAACTCCTAAACCTGGGATGAAATTTAGCTCTGGCTCTGCATTATATGAACTGGGTATGTCTACAGCTGAAAAAGGAGGGACAACCAAAGTCAATAGATGGTGAAGAATGGGTCAGGGCCTTTAGAGACACAGTGGTGCATATCTTTAAGTGAGGTTGAAAGGCGCAGAAAAAGGAATTGTGGGAAAAGAGGAGAAAGGAAAAGAAAAGATAATTAATCCCTTGGGATCTACCATAAAAAAATGTATTTTCCATCCAGTAACCTGGACATTTTTTGAAATACAGGTAAGCAACATAGACTCCTCTGAAGAACACATCTGTGGAAAGAGTAGATTCTCACTGAGTTAAGAGGTGAAGTTTACCAAAAAGAGATGATGTTTAAAGAAATTATTCTTTAGGAAATGAATACAACTTGCACATTGAAACTAAATAGAGGGTGGATGCAAAGAAAACAGGGCCTAGAAGTGCAGGAGGAAATAAAAGGTTTTTTAATTTAAAACTATAGCAGAGATAATTAATAAAATACTATTCTGTAGAGGAGAATCTTATCCTAAGAGAAGATTCACTATAAACATCACTGAGATCTGCATTGTAATGAAGTGAAATAAATTTTAAAGAGATGACTGCTTTATGATTCAAACCTTGGACACGAGAGTTTAAGTTATCTGATCTACATTATCTCTGACACTGCTCTGTTATGCCCTCAGGGACAATGGTAGGGAGTGGGAGGGGAACTTATTAGGCCTGAAATTTGAATTTTCATTATCCTCTAATGTAGGTGAAAACATGAAAAAGGTGAACCTTCATCTTGGAGATGCTAAGGTCCAAGAGGTATCACACATTTCAGGGGCTGCCGAGTGTATTTAATGCCCTTTGAAAAGTCAGCCCCTTGTGGATTGAAGGTAGGCACCCAGAAACAAAGCATGAAAAAAATCCACATTTTTATTGTCCGTTCATGTTGCTATCAGCTCCACCTTGGTTGCCTGACTTTGAATACACAGGTTTTCAGGAGCCCAGTAGATCTCAAACCCACTGAATGGGATTTGGACTTTAGCTCTTTTGAACATCTATGAAGACTCCAGACCTGACAGGTAAATGGATAACTGTTTTGCCCTTTTCTGTCATCTGACATTTGTGTCAGGCGCAAAGTACAAGGCATTCCTCAGGAAGACCCTACCTAAGACACTGGAAGAGTATCCTGGTGAAGTATCATGACATGTTTGCTCAGATGGAATCAAGGGTTTGTTCAGGATGACAACCTGGTCCAACCTTCTGCTCCAGGCAGGGTCAGCTATAAGAACAGACCAGGTTGCTCATGGTTTTATCCAACTGGCTCAGAAAGGAAGGACAGAATATCACGTCTCTGGGCAATCTCTTCCACTGCCTCATTGTCCTCACGGTGACTAAGTTTTTCCTTATATCCAGTCCAAACATTTTGTTTCAATTTATGACTGTTGTCTCTCATCTCATGCATTACTGTGAAAAGCCTGGCTCCATCTTCTTGATAAACCTCCCTGTAGGTATTGGAAGGCTGCTATTAGGTCACCTTTAAGTCTTCTCTTCTCCAGGCTAAATGCTTCTTACACTCTTCCTGATGTACCCACTTTAAGCCACTGTTGGAGACAGTACGCTCAGAGGTAGTGGATATACAAACTTTTCGTCAAACCCATGGGTCTTACGCTTATCACTACAACAACCACTGAAATCCAGTTAGTCCTATTTTACTAACAGGGATGACAAAAATACAGAGTGACCAACTTAGCAGAGGTTATTCATCGACACACAGCTTGATTAACCTGCCTGTCATACTCATACTCTCTTCTCCCAAGTCATAAGGGACACTGCTAATACAACAGGAAGCCATTGCATTAGTCATTCTCTCTAGAAGTCTAGGAGATAAGGTCTTGCATAATATATTACAAGATTTTTCATCATACAGTCCAAGTCCATTTATCAGACTTGATTTCACCTACAAATCAAAGCGAAGGTTTTTGATTGAAAATGTTTTCCATAGGACAAGATTTTTTCAGGCTCTGCCTGTCACCAGAAGGACCAAAAAGGTCTGTTCACTACACTATTTCTCAAGAACTTTGCCCAGTTCTATTTGAATGACCAAAATGCTGAGTGTCTCCTAGAAGGAACTTCTGAACAGGCTGTATTAAGAAGATCAGCTCACTCCTGCATTTTACTAGTGCATTCTTTCCTTTGAATATCTATGGGCACCCTCTCAGGGGAAAACTTAAAGGCCAGAAGCATGCTGTGATTACAAACAGCAATTTAATACAACATCAGCTTGCTGCCAGGAGGAACTTTCTTTTGATATAAACAAGATATAGTCAGCATGGCTTCAGTCTCCTCTGTTTATTTGAGAATGCTTTTGCTCTGAGGGCTTTGCTTTGTTTCTTAAAGTTCACAAGAAGATTCTTACAAAGCTATGATCACTAAATGGAAGTGACAGGACTACAGCATCTTGCCATTAAATGAGCTTATTTTAGCAACAAAAAACCCCACCCCATCACCTCTTTTTACAAGAGGGCAGGAGGTATCAACAGCACCACCTACTCTTGCTCAGTAGTCTCCACTGATCCTGTTTAAAAAGAGTGTCAAGTACAGCAGTTCATTATGAAAATGCATAGGCCTTCCCCTCACTGCCTTAAGGTCTACAGTTTCAGGTGGATCACAGAGTGTTTCGGACATCAGCCTATAGCTTGACTATAACGGTTGTGGGTTTAAATCTGTAGAAAATATGCACTACTTCTAAGCAATATGCAAGATCTAAGCAGCTGCTAATAGGCCCATTCACTACCCAAGGACCACTATCCCCACTGGTATTTGTGTTTGTATGTGTAAAAAGCATGACCCCTCTGTGATGACAGCCATTTTATCCTTGTTTCAAGGCTTCCAATGGACTAAAGTCCGATATTCCCTCTCCAAAATAATACAATCGCAAGATTAACCCATTTGAGAAGGAAACTGCCTTGGTGGGCCATGAATTAAGTGGGCCCAGGACACTGATTTCATTTGCTTAAATAGTACATGCGTCAATGAAAGTAATTGCTAAATAAAGAAACCTCCCAGCAATTTTCTTCCAAGTCAACATTCACAAGCTGTGGTTTAGCACTACCCTCTCTTTCATGAAGCTGTAACCCGCTGCAGAGGTTATGAAACTCCCAGCACTGGTATCACAAGGGTGGAGAGAGTGAGGGGGTAAGGACAGTCTAAAGGAAGTTGCCATTTCTGACTCAATGCACACTCTTTTTGCCATGACATCTTTTTCTCCAAGGTTACCCCAGGAATCTGGTCAACTGGTGTTATTGTTGGATTCCAGGGAAGAGGAGAGGTTGTAAAAGGATTAGGGAAAATGCCTGAGGTCCCAAGGGCACTGTGAAATTTGGATAACTTATGAGATTCACTGGCTTTTCTGCTTTGCAGGATAAAGAAAGCGTTTGAGCCATAAATCCTAGGGAAGAGAGAGGAGGAAGTAGCTTTTATTGTTATTATTGGTTTTTTTAAGGGATGCTCTTACCTTCTCCATCAAAAATAGGCTGGGTTTCCATGGTAGGCGTTGGCTTCGAACCGTCATCTGAATTGAGGGTTAAAAAGAATCGAAAAGAAACTACCATTATTGAGGTAAATACTATCTACTCTCCAGTACTGTTGAATGATTGGGATTTGTACATGGCCCGGCCAAGTCCAGAAGAGAGAGAAGACAGACAGAATGGAAACAAATTATTCAGAGTTTACACTAACAGCAATAACATTTTACATAGCAAGCATGCATCAAGCACTATCCCTAGACTTAAAAGAAGCCTCCCTCCCTCCCCTCTCCCTCCACAGACCATAGCTGTGCATCACCTGGTAGTCTCCCCTTGTTGCACTGATCAGGCAATTGCCTTCTTAGTTTCAGGTGGCTATATATCCCACCCAGGACATTTCCTGAGACAGCAGAGGTCTGGGGATTGTTGTCCCACTGTGTCTTTCTCCTTATTCTTTTTGTTCAAAAGAAAAACTCTTCTTCTGAAACTTACCTGTGCAGAACCTGGCACCAGCATTCACTGCAGAGCTGTTAGAAAGGGATGGTCAATAGCAAATCTTTTTTCTTACAATGTTTGCATCAAGGTATTCTCTAATTGCAATGCCATGGCAATGTCTTCTAATTGCAAAATCGTGGAAAAAGAACTTCTCTTAGATTAGGTTTTTCATGTGCAAGAGCGCTCCATGTCTTCTGACCACAAGTCTTTCATAATTAAAAGCTTCAACCAAAAAAGATTCCACAGGAAATATAAATCTCAAAATTTAGAGATGGACCACAGGGAAAAGCGTTGAGTTTACACTCTGTCTGGCTTAGTACACCTATCCATCGTATCTACAGACCCAGCTTGGATTCAGGCTGGGTCTAGTTTCCTCAGTGCTCAGAGGGATCTAGATATCAAGCCCCAGCTTGGAGGATTTTCATACAACACGAGGACAGTGGCATAGCATTATAAGCGAGGCAAAACCTTTGACTGTGGGCAAGCTAAGCTGGAACAAACTGTAGAGGAAAGTCTTTTGTTACATTGCAAGATAAGAATGTAGAACATTGTTGGGATGTAAACTAAGATGAGATTAGCCTAGGGTTGCCTTCCCCCCCCCCCCCCCCCCCCTTTTTTTCAGCGATCCCCTTTTTGGAATACAGTGGCTTTAAAAATTTACAATTTGTAACAACTATTTTTGTTACAAAGATGACACTAGGCATCAGCAAAGTTGGCAGTAACCTAAAATAGAAAGTTGCACAGCAGAAATCAGTCGGAGGGAGAAGTCTATGCCAGAAAAGCCAGGCTTGCCACCGTCTCCAGGACTGTATCAGATGGACAGGGCAGAAGCCATTTGGAGGAAAGGTGCATGGGACAGCCCCTCCTACAAGCAGCAATAACTGTCCTCAGTCTTCCCTTACTTTTGTAATTGGAACCAATATAAAAGACCATTGGAAGGGGAAGGGTAGAGATGGAAAACAGAGGCTTGTAAACTATTTTTTCCACCAATACCTGTATTTGCAGTTTTATAAAGTGAGCAAAAGCCTGAACACCTCTTCCACAGATCATTAATTTTACGCATTTCCACAGAAAGCAATCTAATTCACAGAAAGAAAAAATGTAATTTCATTTCAACCTCAGAGATCCACTGATGTAAAGGAGGTTGACAGAAACAAGCAAGAGATCCTGTTGCCATTTTCCCTCTTGATCAATATATTTGTTTTTATGCTTAATTATAAACACAGCAAAAAATATTTGGAAGAAAAAATACTTACCATTCCTCAGTCAACTATTGTTCTGAGTTTTCGTGTTATTGGGTATTACCAGTAATATGGATAAGCAGTATTTTTCTTTAAAACTCTGAGCAACTGATTTCTTGGAAGAATTTCCCAAATTTTGCTTAAATTACAAGAAGGAAGATTTTGCCCTTTAAAGAAGGGCAGATCTCTGGATAAAAGTAAATAGTTGATCTTCACTTTTTTGTCAGAATAGCCTGCTCTGCTTCTACAAGATCCCAGAAATCACAGCTATGACATTTTATTTATTTAGGGTGACACTTCACACTGTAATGAAGCAGTGAGCAGCATGTAATCAGCATGATTGGCTTTAGAGATTGAGAAACCAACCCAAAACTGCAAAAGATACTCCTAGAACAACTGGAAAGGTGAACAATTCCTAAGTTACATAAAATAGGAAGAGAGCTGGCATTAAAAAAAAAACAAACCCAACTTACCAGCACGATAATAAGTTTATTCCTATTGTTCTCATGAATGCTTCTGCACCAAGTAATTACAGAATTGCTTTTCAGCAATTCAAAGCAGCAACCCAGAAGCCAACAACAGAGAAAAATTAGAAGTGAATCTGAGCCACAACACTTATCCAAACCATTCTGTGAACTTTGGGACGCTTCGGGTTCAGGGGGGTCCTTTTAGGCTCATGCATGTGAAGAACAGACACACTAGCAATTATAATTTGGGAAATACATTCTTCCTAAAGACAGGATTTTGTAGCAGTTTTTGTATGAAGTTAGCCATTAAGCTACTGAAGGGTATTAAACAGTGACAGAATAAATGCAGCAAATAAACAAAAATACCAAACTAACCTTTGAACTGTGTTTTATTTTTACGATCATCTCTGTAAAATGGCTGTGAACTACACAATCATTTCCTCACTGAGTTACTAAGGCCAAATTGTCACTAAGTCCACATTGCAGCAGCACCCAGTACAGTGTTAAGGGTTTTGCACATAGCGGGAAGTATAATTACCCCCCTGTTGTTCGAGCAAGTATAGTTCTTTCATCACACGTACAAGAAAACATGCAATAGACAAGAGCCCTGTAATTACATTCACCATATTTCAAAGTCAAAAGCAGGGATATTTCTGATTACTTTTTTTAAAGGTCATGAAATAGTCACATAAAAGACAAAAACTGCACTTTATTAAAAACACCATGCTCACTTCCCAGCTGCCAGCTTCTTACTCTGAAACTACCAAATCTACTTCTTAGACTGGAGAATTCTCAGCAGGTCTCAGTGTTTCAAATTAGCTTACGGCAAAAAAGTTTCACTGCCATTCCCTTTGGGCAGAAGAACAACCCTAATACTTGTCTACTCTCATTCAATTTTTCTTCTCGCTCAATGCACTGTTCATCACACTGAACATTTGTTCCACTGGTCTGTTTGCTCCTGGTAAACAAGGAATAAGTTCTATTTTGCATACCTGAAAGTTTTGAACAAACATTTTGTATTCCTTAAAGAAACATTAACACAGAACAGAAAAACCAAGCTATTTCACAGACCTGGGGTCTCCTGTGATATTATACAAGATGTACAGGATATTGTTACTTTACAGCCAAAGGTCATGAAATATGTTCATCAAGTATGATCTATTCCTTTCTTCAAAAAGCTATTAAATTCCACACTTCCAAAAAAGGCGTATAACTGCAATAGTTCCTCATGCAGAGCATGTCAAAAACAGAGGGATCAAAGAGGTCAAGTAAGTGCTTCCTAATCCCTCTAGATGGCAATGCTTCCAGATCAGGAACTCACGTACTGCAGAACCATCAAAGATAATTTCCCTTGGTTGCAGAATATCCTCAGAGCCTTGATGAAGAGTGCATTGGCATGCTTCTCTTTCCATGTCTTACAATGCAACATGAATACCCACTTTATTTTTCCAAGACAACCACTGAATACAGACAGCATCACTCAACAGAATACCTCTGATGGGACACAGTTTTAAAGCCATAAAACCCCTTTCCAGTGAGCCTCCTTTTCCTAGGATACACCTGCAAAAGTTGAACTGATTTTTCTGGCTCAACTGGTGTCAACTTAAAAATGGTATTTTTATCTTATCACTGGTGAGATTGAAACAGGCAGGTCCAAACAACTCTCCCTAAGCCATTTTCACATTAAGATACCATGGCTATAAGCCAGAAGCCCACTTGCACTACCACTGTCAGAGGCTTGTAAGCTTAAGAACAGTTTTTGTTGCGTTAGCCTGACAATAACTCAGATCTATTGCTAGTGGTGGGTAAGAACTCTTTATGCTCCCACTAGGACTCCCCTCCCTTACCCTTGCAGAATATCTAGCAAGCATCCACATCTGGAATGACTGCAGTATACGCTGCGGTTGAGAGACAAGGAAATTCAGTTCATGTGAAAGATGACTGCTAAAGAGATCTTTTTACTCTGAACGACAGGCACTGAAGCCATGAGCAACTCGAGTTATGTTTGGGGAAAAGTAAACTTCCTGACATAGAAAAAAAAACAAATTACTATGGAAAAATGTGAAGTAACTGCCTGCTGCTGTGAATCACTGCTCTTGCCTCAAGCCACCTAATGGAAGCTGAAGAAAGCAGAAAGTTAGGTGATAGAATTAACCTCCTATACCACATCTCCTACCCAGGAAAATATACCCACTGCAAGAGTCATCTGTATACTTGCATCACCACGTTAGCAGACTAAGATCTATAGTCTTCCTAAGCAACCTTACCCTTCAGTACATCACCTTTGTGTTCTCACTGGAATCCATGAGACACTCTGTAAACATTTCTATCATTCTTAAGAGCACTAGTGTTTATGGGGTCAACCATCCAGGCCTTGTACAAAATCTAGTCTTTTTTGTAAGTCTTCAGCTTGAACATCAAGGGTTCCTAGACTTTGAGTCAGCCTGATAGAATAAGAGGATGATAATTTTGCATGTATAGCTCTGCCCTGGGAGGAGGCAGCCTTCGTCCAGTGTCAAGTGGTTCCTTCACTTACCATTGTCTGGTTTTGGGTGAGCCATTACAGAGCATAGCTGAAGCTAAACAGGCAACTTCGAGCACAGATAGCCAGGACAATGAGTGAATTCTTAGCATGTCCTGTTCAATGTAGCAAAGTCCACCTTTAGTGAGTCTGTCAAACCAACTGGAAAGGAGAAGAGCTCTCCTAGGCTTGAGCACTCCTGAGGGACTTAGGTCTCTTATACACCTTTCTGTGGCTTCAGTAACTCTGGTCAGATGCAACAAAGACCTGCCAGGTCAACTGAAGCTCCCTGTATCTGCAGTTCCCGAATCTTGAAGATGCAA